GAAAACGCTGCTGTTGTTTTACCAGGTGATCATTTCTCACTCCTGGGCCTGAGGCTGGGGCCTCCCTCTGACTCTGCTCCCTGGTCTGAGGCTCATGATTTCCTTGATGCTGCTCCAGGCCTGAAGCTTGAGCTTCCTCTGATGCTGCTTCTGGGCTGGGATTCGGGCCTCTCACTCCAATTGCTGTTTCTTTAACAAAATCATCATCCCAATGTGAGGATGAAAGCCAGCCTCTCTTAGGTGAAGTGTAGAGACAGCTGTGGTGAGATGCTTATGCAATGTACTTCTCAAAGAGAACAGTCACTGCCCAGTCAACCTCCCCTTCCTGGATGTCTTAGTTCTTTTTCTGCTGACTATGGTAATATACCTTGACCAGAGCAACGCAAGTGAGGAAGGATTTCCAGCTCATAGTTCACATGTGTGGTCCACCACGGTGGAGAAGCCACAGTCACAGGGACTTGAATTGGCTGGAAACTTTGCACTCAGGAAGCAGGGATGAATGCCTCTGTGACTCAGCTTGCTTTTATCCAGGATCCGAGCCCAGGGGATAGTGCTGCTCACAATGTGTGTGTGTCATTTTGCCTCCAGATAATCCCTACAAGCATGCACTTGTGGTCGCTCACAGCACTGGAAAGGAGGAAGCAGGAGGCTCACTGGGGCATGCTGGCTTCTTCTCTCAGTCAATGAGCTTCAGGTCAGTGAGAGACAGCCTAAAAATCAAGGTGGGTGGTGTCTGAAGAATGGTGCCAAGGTTGACCAGTGGCTTCCACATGCTTAGGTGCACACACAGGTGCATATATATGATGGGGGACATCCTTCTGTATATATGTTTCTCTTATTGGCTGATGAATAAAACACTGATTGGCCAGTAGAGGCAGGAAGACAGGCGGGGCTAGGAGAGGAGGTGAATGCTAACGAGAGAGGAGAGAGACTGCAGAAAGAGACACCATGAGCCGGCCGCTGGTGGCGCACGCCTTTAATCCCAGCACTGAGGAGGCAGAGGCAGGCGGATCTCTGTGAGTTTGAGGCCAGCCTGGTCTACAGAGCGAGTACTAGGATAGACTCCAAAGCCACAGAGAAATCCTGTCTCAAAAAACCAAAAAGAAAAAAAGCAAAGAATGAAAGAAAGAAAGAGACGCTGTGTAGCAGAGGAAGGAGTAGCAGGTCTGGACCCTTCTCCATTTAGATAAGACCACGTGGAGATACTTAGATTAATAGAAATGAGTTAATAATTAAGACAGAGCTAGCCAGTAAGAAGTCATAGCCATTAATCAACAGTTTTGTAATTAATATAGTGTCCATATGTTTTCTTGGAGCAAAGTGGCTATGGGACCAGGAGGGACAGAAACCCCCATCAACACATATACTACTTCATGAATGTGTGCACACGTGAACACAGATACACACACCAATGTTTTGAACCAGTGGGGGTGTGTCATGGTGGGAATATCTTGAGAGGGCTGGCCTCCCTCCATGGTTGGGTATTGGGAAGGGAAAAAGAAGGGACCACATTTTCACTCTCTTCTTTGAGGGCCTGCTTCCAACAGACCCACTGTGTGTGTGTGTGTGTGTGTGTGTGTGTTGAGGAAAATGTAACAGTACACAGGATAAGGATATTGCTGGTTATTGGGCATGGTCAGAGGCACAGGTGCCTAGGTCTTCCCTATAAGCATGTGTGTTTTCAATTTATTCTTTGAGAATTCTGGTATATAAAACGCATCTTTATCAAATTCATCTCCCACTCCTCCTCCAACTCCTCCTGGACCCCCATACTCAAACTGTCATGTCCTTTTTCTCTTCATAACTCACTGAGTTCTGTGGGAACTGCCCATATGAGTGTCTTAGTCACTGTTCTATTGCTGTGAAGGGACACCGTGACCACGGCAACTCTTATAAAAGGAAGCATTTAACTGGGGCTTGCTTACAGCTTCAGGGGGTTAGTCTGCAATCTTCATGCCAGGAACAGACAGGCACGGTCTGGAGCCGTAGCCGAGAGCTACATCCTGATCCACAGGCAGAGGGAAAAAAGACACTGGGCCCGTTGTGGGCTTTTGAACCCTTCAAGCCCACCCCAGTGACACACTGCCTACAAGAAGGCCACACCCCTAATCCTTCCCAAACAGTTCCATTAACTGGGCACCAACCATTCAGACCCTCTGGGGACCATTCTCATTCAAACACCACAATCAGAGTGGGTGAGTCCTCCACTGGGGCATTGTGGGCTACTAGGAGACACACCCTTGAAGAAAGTGGCCTCTCTCCCCAACAGCCATCAACTAACTGTCCACAGCTCTTCAGTCAGGAGTGTGGTCACGAGCCCCTCCCCCTCCGTGCTGCAAGGCTGACTGGATGCTGTGTTCCTGGGTGCTGGGGTCCTATCCTGTCCAGAGGACAACGGTCTGCTCTGGTTCTGCCTGGCCTGGGGCTCTCACTGACTTTCTATTCCCCTTCCATGATGGCCCCTCGCCTTGGGGAGGGGTATGACACAGATTTCCCAGTGTGACTGAATACTCCTCGGTCCTTTATTCTCTGTACCGCTACCCACTGTGGCTTTCAGCATTGTCTGTTGTCTGCTGCACCGAGAAGCTTCTCTGATGAGATCTGAGTGCTGTGTGGATCTACACACATCGAGAGATTATTTTAGGGGGCAGTTTCTGATTATGTCCCTTTAGCAAAATAATAGTAGTGGGTTCACCCTTGGAGCCTGTGAGCACCCAAAACACGGGTTCTTGGGCAGTTTACAGTACCAGGTGTGGGCTTTCTCCTGGGGAGGGGCCTTAAATCCAGCCAGTTGGTTACCCCCATGACATCTGTGCTGCTGTTGCACCAATGGGCACGTCTTGACAAGCCCGTTATTAGTGCAGTGCGCGGGGCTCAAGCTGGGCAAGAAAATCTGGGAGGGTCTTATCAAGTTCTGGCGGGCAAACAGGAGCAATGGCAGTAGCTTGCAATGCTTTGGTGGTCTCTGGGAGACCTCTGACCGGCAATCAGGAGGCAGGTGCCTCGTCCCTGACACCGAAGCACCACCTCTGGGGAGACACACACACAGCACAGACACAACTGCACACCTACATAAAGAGTAGCTTCTAAAGATAGAAGAGCTCACTGCAGCCCGAGCCGTATAGATGGGGAAACTGAGGTCCAGGGATGCCAAGGCTGGATCTCAAAGTCACTCATCTGGGAAGTGGCAGAGCAGGGATTTGAACACAGAACACCAACTCTAGAGTATACAAACCGTCTGGTTTCTCTGTAATGACACCTTCTGTTTTAACACAGTGGTGCCTTGTCGGTTGGCCATCCTAAGGCATCGACACACCGTCATTATTTTGAGGGTCTTGGTTAAAGGTGAGGGGAAGAGGGTGTAGGTGACTGCCTTGGGGGGGTCCCAGGAAGCAGGGTGGTGGAACCCTGGAGGAAGCCCAGTAGGTGTCTGGGCCAGAGGCTTCCTGCCTGTGGGTGTCATCTGAAGTCACCAACGCCTCCTGGGGTGTCTCTTGTCCCTCTCCTTATCCCCCTCCCTCCTCCCCCTTCTCTGCTAGCTCCCTTCCTCACCCACAGCCTCACCCTCTAGTCTCCTCAAGGCTGAGGGAAATTCTGAGAACGAGGATTTTTTTCTTTTTCTTGAGACGGAAACTGCCAGCTGCCGGCTGCTCTTTATAAATACACTGTCCCCACACCTTGGTCTCATCAAAGCCACGGAAACAGGCCTCCATGAGCACAAAGGAAACTTCAGTGGTGGGGCGGTGAGACCGGGTATTGGGGGGGTGTTTCCACATGCACACACACACACCACACACACACACACAGACTCACACACACATGCACACACACACACACACACACACACACACACACACACACGGCAGCGTTGCAAGGACAGGAGGCTGAAAATCAGCTTGGACTGGCCGTGATTCCTGGACAGAGGGAGGCTGCCCTGTCCCTCGCAGTTGTGGCCTCTGCAACACGTTCTGCTGGGAGCTTAGATTCCTCAGTGCAGATGTTCAGCTGGGGTAACGCACAGCTGTAGTTCTAGATGCTGGGGAAACTGTGGCCGAAGGGTTGCTCAAGACTCTGCCTCAAACATATGAAAAAAAAAAGGAAGAAGATACAATCTACACAAGGGGCTTAGTCAGGTGTGGTGGTGCACACCTTTCTGCCCGGAACCCGGAAGATGGAGGTAGGAGCACCAAGAGCTCAAGACCAGCCTGGGCTACTTGAGACCTGGCCCTGAAACAATGAACAAACAGAACCAGACAAATGACTAGAACATATAAGGAGCCTCTCAAATACTGCTATTTAAGCTTCTTGATTTTATTTTATTTATTCTGCATGTGTCCTGCATGTGGGGTCCAGAGGACAGCCACAGATGGCATCTTCAGGAACTCTCCACCTCCTCCGAGGAGGTCTCTCACGAAACCTGGAGCTCACAGGTTCAGCTAGACTGCCTGGCCAGCGAGCCCCAGAGGTCCTCCTGTCTCCCCTTCCCCACTGAGGGATCGCAGGTGTCCACCACCACATCTGTCTCTATACGGGTTCCGGGGGTTTTAACTCGGACCCTTATGGTGGAGTCACAGGCTATCTACGCTCTGACCCATCTCCCATGCTCCTCAGTTCCAGGCGTCCTGCGGGCCTGGCACAATCTGTTCTAAGTGTGTTTAATAAAATGCTCTGGAGGGTGTCATATCCCTTCTCCCCTCTATTCCTTCCCTCTTTCTGCCTTTTTTTGGTTTTCCTTCCCTTCAGCATTCCCTTCTTCCTTCCCTCCTTTCCTCCCTCACTTCCCCTCACCAACAATTTCTGGAGTATCTGTCCCAGCCGTGAATGGGCCCCAAGCCAGTCCCAGCCAGCTGGCCAATGGTGGGAGAAGCCAGTGTGTGGCGGTGAGTCTTGAGCCCCGGATGCTCCCCACAGTGTCTCAGTGATATAACTCCCCTGACACCCTGGTGAGGTTTCTTGTCTCCAGAATGTAAGCCCCGAAACCTATGGACACGCCGTCTGCATCAGATGCATAAATACCCGGCTTTATTATTTTTTCCTGAATATCAGGCAAAAGGGCTGACCCCACGTTCCTGGGCTCCACACCCCAAGTCTCCAATTTGAAGATTTCCCAAGACAGGTTAACAGTCAACACGGTCCCTGAACATTCCACCTGGAGAATCTGGGGGGTCCTTAAGGGGAACTTCAAGACCCTGCTCGCTGGGTTTGAGGTCTGTCCCGGAGACGCCCCTGCTTGCAGTCCATTGTCGCCGTAGCCTTCAGATCATGAATGCTCCGAAGTAGGACCTGGTGCCATCTCGGGGTCTGACCAGGCGGTCCCCAGGCACACGGACCACAACCTCCTCCCCCGCCTCCAGATGAACCACGCCACCCAGGAAGCTGCTGTCCCACCAGACTCGGGAGCTGTTGGCCCGGCCACAGGGTGACCGCCGACTGACCAGCAGTTCTAGCTCCTTGGGATAGCGGGATGTGCGCTTATACAGCCCGTGGGTGATGGGGAGACCATTGGCCAGGCCCTGGGGGCAGCCCACGCCGCTCAACTGCACTTTCGAGTACACATAGTAGTAGCCGGCTTCCGTAGTCACCAGGGCCCCGTTGTGATATTCCAGGCCCCTCAAGAAGGCCAGGCCAAGCTGAGTCTCCCACAGCAGTGGTCCACCCTTGCCTATCAAGCTGGCATTGGCCCCTGGGAGGAAGGGAGAAAGAGAGAACTGATCAGTGCAGTTAGTATTGTGCCCATGCTTTCTGCGTGACCTTACAGCAGTTACTGTCCCTCACTGCCGAATTAGGTTGCTTGTCTGGGCTGACTCAATGCATTCCCCTCTTGCGGTGTGGGAAACTGAGGTGCAGGGAGGCAAAGTTAATTGGTTATGATGCATCCTAACTCATTTCATTTCCACCCCCTTCTCCAGAGGGAGAAACTCACGCAGAGAGGAGCAAAGCCAATTGAATACCAAAGAGGAAACTGAGGCACAGGGTACTTGGGTTTCCCAGTGAAGCGTCAGCATCTAAGAGTGGGTGGGGCTGAGGAGGCAGAGCACTTGCCCAGCACGGAGGAGGCCCTGGGCTCCATCACCAGTGCAGAATACACCAGATGTAGTGGCACATGCGAGTCATCCCTGAGAGGTGGGGACCAGAAGACCAGGAGTTGAAGGTCATCCTCCACTCCATGAGCAGGTCAAGGCCAGTTTAGGCTACAAGAGACCCTGTCTTAAAAAGTGCGTGTGTGTGTGCGTGTGTGTGTGCGTGCGCGCGCGTGTGTGTATGTGCGTGAGCGTGTGTGCGCGTGTGTGTCTGTGTGTGTGTCTGTGTGTGCGTGCGTGCCTGCATGCATGTGTGTGTGTGTGTGTGTGTGTGTGTGTGTGTGTGTGTGTGTGGCCAGAAGCCAACACCAGGTAACTTTCTTAGCTTCCGCTTCGGGCCACCTTATCTTTGAGGCAGAGTCTCTCACTGAACCTGGAACCGGGGTCCCCTGTCTCCCCTCTCATGTTTTAAATAGTTTTTGATTACAGCATATTTTGTGCCTATTCTGACTAATTGCTTGCTGTGTTAGATAAGAAATCAAGCTATCTCTGGTATGGAGGCACAAGAAAAAAATATAGTACACACATCTGGGCGTGGTGGCGTCCACCTTTAATCCCAGCACTCAGGAGGCAGAGGCAGGTGGATCTTTGTGAGTTTGAAACCAGCCTGGTCTATGTAGCTAGCTCCAAGGCAGGTCAAGCTACATAGAGAGACTCTGTCTGAAAAAATACAGGGTGTGATAGGCCTGTGTCCCAGCATCCTCTGGGGCCTGAGGACCTTGGGAAAGTCCCCAGACTAGCAGGTAGAAGGGTGACTTTAAAAAGCCCATGGGGGCTGTGCTTTCTGGGCCACTGTCACTAGACATTGAATGAATGAGGCCAGCAAGATGGCTGAGAGTAAAAGATACCCGAGCCATTCCTGATGGCTGGAGGTCAGTCCCTGGAGGCCTCAGGGTAGAAAGCGAGAATTGTTCCCTGAGAGCTGCCCTCTGGTCCTCACACTGTGGCGTGTGTGTGTGTGTGTGTGTGTGTGTGTGTGTGTGTGTGTGTGCAATCATAAACAAGTGAAAAGAAGCAAGTTGAAAAGAACCACACTGAATGAATGTATAAATAGTTGCTCTAACTTATTCTGAAGACCTGGGTCTCCCAGAACACCCTAAGCCCCCACCCCATGTGAAGACCCAGGGTCCCCTCACCTGTGAGATGTGCCGCTGGGTTGGCCCGGTGAGACCTCCGATCTGGGGAAGAGAGTCACAGGTTAGAGGAAACACAGGGTCATTGTGGCCACCTGTAGGTGTCAGGTTCTGCCCCTTCCGGAGTGACCCAAACTTCTGCTTCTCCAGTCCTGGGGGAGGGCACCTTGGGGCTCTGCAAAGTCACATGGGTGATCCCAGGGTGTGGGGAGGGGCAGAGTGGGAGCCATTCCACCTGGGGCCCCAAACTCACCTTGTGCCAGCTTCTCCCAGGAGCCCGTGTCTCTCTCCTGAAATGTAGACAGGGTGTTTCGTGAGGACAGGGCACACCCAGAGTCACACAGTCACATGGTGATGAGACTATCTAGCCATGGCGCAGACAGCACCCACGGACACTTATATAGGGCCGCATGCGCGCGCGGCACACACACACACACACACACACACACACACACACACACACACACACGCCTAATCAGATCTGTTTTGTTTCCGAGATAGGCTCTTATGTAGCCCAGGCTGGCCTTAAACTAGCTAAGCAACCTAGGATGGCCTTGAAATTCTGGAGCCTTCTGCCTCCCAGGATGATAAGTGTGTGTCACAGAATCCAGTCCAGATCTCATGAAAGTTGAGTTTCTGAAATGTTTGAGACTAGAAGTGTTTCAGAATTTTTTAAAGGTATTTAAAATACTCACATATCTTTAAAAAAATCATTTGAGGGCCAGTGAGAGGGCTCAGGGGGGTAAAGGTGCTTGCTGCCGAGCCTGGTGACCTGAGTTCAATCCCCGGAACCCACAAAAGGGAGACACAGAACTGACTCCACAAAGGTTTCCACATACATGCACACCCGCTCACATCCACACACTAAGTAAAGGTAATTAAAAAAACTTAGCAAGTAAACAACGGACAAGACTACAGAAAGATATTGTTTATATGAGTGACCAGGTGCGGCACACAGATACAGCCATGGCTTGTCTGAAAGGGACAGAGAGCAAGCATATCACCATCCGAGAGTGAACCAGGATGACCATGAAGCCAGCGATGGGGACAAGGGTCTGGTTAGCAACAACAGCCATGTAGGTGAATCCCAGGGAAGCAGCCAGGCACAACACACTTGTATCCCTCTATCAGATCCCCACATACAGATGAAAAGACAGGGTCAGAAGCCCTGGGGTCTAGTCTCTGCCTGGCATACACAGCCATAAAGAGACAGACACTGGAGAGGCTCCCCTGGTCCCCCAAGCCCTACTTACCGGGAGGCGAGCTACTGTGTCCCCAACACGCTGATGCAGTCTCAGTAGGAACCAGCCCTGAGTAGCCAGCCCCACGCCCAGCAGCAATATCAGGGCCAGGTTGACTTGGGCAATGCCACAGCGCTGTCTCCTGTGGTTCTGTCCCAGTCGCCTGAACGGGATGTCCGTCTGTCCGTCTACCACAAACACTGAAGGCTGCACCACGCTCTCCATGCCAGAGCAGCTGAGGCCCAGAAGCCCGGGGACGGGGCTGGCAAGCCTGAGTTCCTCCCCTCCGGAGGAAACCACAATTGCCCAATGCTCCGGCTTTGCAAACTGCAAAAGCCTCCTGCGGCCCCCGAGGCTCACTTTAAAGCCGACTTTGGTGCCTCTGCTCTGCTTTCCCCACGCACCTCCTCTTCTTCCTGTGCCCCCAGAAGGCCCGGCCCCCAGTTCACTCTCACTCACGCCATCGCTCACTTTCCAGAAAATGTGACTCAGGTGGAGGTGGACGGGGCAGCCCCTGTTCACCGGTTTGGTGGTTCTATTCCCCCTCAGAAGCGCTTCTGTGGGTTCCGTGCAAGCTTGCAACTCGTGCATGTGTGCAGGCACACATGCAAGCACACGTCTCTGCGTGCATGCTTTGATTCGTGCATACGGGTGCAAACGCACGTGCAGATGCATGGCTGTGGGCATGCAAGGCACAGACAGGTTCGTACATGTGTGCACGCGGGGGTAGATGTTCTTATGTGTGACTGCGTGCAAGCGAGTACATGCACACATGCATTTCCTGAGGTGTATGCAGGCCCATATGTGCACACACGTGCTATAGTGTGCACCATCCATTAGCGCATGCTTGTATGTACCTCAGTGTGTATGGGTGTGCCCGGGTAGTGTCCATCTTGGGGAGGGGGCTGGGGACAGATTTCCAGGTACCACCACTTTGTCCCCAAGTCTGCAGCCTGGACCTGAGCTTCATCACAGACTCGCCCAGATTCCAAGGGCTCAGGGGTGCTCAGGAGGCACCAGCCCGGCTTCTCAACATCAACGACCTCATGCAGGACTGGTAGTCCCGTTACCACAGAACCCCAGCACTCTGTCACAGCAGGCTTTCCCGACAAGTACTGCTGAGACGCCCACCCGGCCCCCGGTGCCAATCATCCACCTGCCTCAGGAATACCCCTTCAGAGGAAGCTGGAGTGTGTGAGGTGCTGGGGGTCTGTGTGTTGCTGACATGGGCATGGGCATGCCAAGGACTCCAGATCCTGAGGGAAACGATGAAGCCATCTCGTCTGCTCCATACATGATGGTGATAGGGTGTACAGAAAACATCCTCCATTCTCCCCCTGGGTGCTGGGGGTCTGAAGACAGCTCCCCTACGGGGACTGCTCCTGCGGAGATGAAATAAACCTGCCTTCCAGATCCTTTGTGTACATAAGCCCCGCCTTCCTTCTTACCTGTAATAAGCTGCCTCCTTCCGCAGTAGACAATAACCCTGCCTCTCTGCTCAACTCTGTACAACCAACATTCTGAGCTACCCCGGTGCTGACGCCCAGACCACCTGACCCCAGGTAACCCTGTCTGCGTTTGTCCCTTCTCCACTCATTCACTGTCGCCCTGCTCAGGTCCATTCCTGGAACCACGCAAACGACTCAGCAGTCTGGAGTATCCCACCACACAGTGTCTGCCTGGAAGTATTCTCTAGTCTCTTTTGGTCAGCATTATGTCAATATGACACAAGTTAGAGTCATTTTGGAAAAGGACACCTCAATGAAGAAAATGCTCCCAACAGCTCTTGCCTTCGGGTTCCTGCCCTGACTTCCCTCAATTACCATAGTGATATTTTGTTTGTAATCTAATAGATAAAGCTTGCCTGAAGATCAGAGTGCAGAGCTAAGCTGCTAGTTAGCCACACACCTACTTAAGAGCTAAGACACCAGTTAGCCACACACACAGGAAACCATTAGTTAGCCATAGAGGACAGGCAGTGGTGGCCACACCTTTAAATCCAACACTTGGGAGACAGAGGCAGATGGATGTCTGTGAGTTCAAGGCCACCCTGGGTTACATGAGAGTGAATCAGTCTAAAAGAAAAACAGAACTCACACCTTTGATCCCAGCACTTGGGATGACACACTTTTAAAGTGAAGAAGCTACAGAGTTGAGAGCCCCTTAAAAACAACCGGGACTTCCTGGGTGTGGAGATACACATCTTTAGTCCCAGTACGTGGGAGGCAGAGGCAGGTGGGTTTCTGTGAGTTCAAGGCCAGCCTGCTCTACAGAGTGAGTTCCAAGAAGACACTTTTAAACCCAGCACTAGGGAGGAATATAAGGCAGGAGCTCAGTGCAGTCTCAGGGCAGTCTCAGGGCAGTCTGAAGTTTGGTGGAGAGCATTGCAGGCTGCAGTCACTCTAAGGACAGGATCACCCGTCTTTGGTCTTAGCCTTGGTAAGACCTCTCTAGTGGTGGCTGCTTTGCTTTTCTGATCTTCAGCTTGAACCCCAATACCTGACTCTGCATTTTATTACCAAGAACAACTAGAACCCGTGCTACAAATGATGGAAGTATAAAGTAAAACAAACCCTGTCCTTTCCAAGTCGCTTCTGGTCACAGCGTTTTATCACAGCAATAGAAATCCTGAGGTGACAGACTGGACCCTGTTTTGGGAACAATTGTGGTGGCAACCTTTGAATACTCAGAGCTCAGTAGGCTGTTCTGTGGGAACCTGGGGCATCAGAGTGCTTGGAACAAGGCTGGTAACAGAGGCCCGGCTTGTGAAGCTACAGAGTTGACAGCCCCTTAAAAACAACCAGGGCTTCCTGGGTGCCGTGATACAGTCCCAGTACCTGGGAGGCAGAGACAGGTGGGTTTCTGTGAGTTCAAGGCCAACCTGCTCTACAGAGTGAGTTCCAAGAAGACAAGGACTATAGAGAGACTCAATTTCAACAAAACAAAGCAACAAGTAGACTATGGGGATGTTTGATACTGGAAGTAAGATCCCCTGGTTCTGCTCAGCTGGGGCTGCAGAATTGGCTGTGATTAGAAGAGGCCAGCGTCACTGAGGTGAAATCTTCTGGGAAGTGTTCCCTGAGAGTCAGCACACAGGAGCTGTGTGCGGAGGTGCCTAAGGTTGTACCTCACGCTGGCAGCAGGATTGGTAATGTGTAAGGGTCACCCAGGTGGTACTGGTTTGGAAGGCATGAGAGGGTGAAGGAGAGCAGCCGGGACTTGGCGCTGTGAGAGACCAGGAGGGGCCATTGGTGAAGGCGCAGCCTCAGTGTCAGCAGCCTGGCATTTTGGAGCTGTCAGTACCATGGGATGGCAGCCAAAAACAGCAGCCGCAGAGGAATGGCGCCTGCCCAAGCTTAGAAGACAGGCCGTGTGCGCGGCACAGTGTGGAGCAGAAGTGACCCAAGCCCCTTGGAGGAGCCCAGAGGTCGTGTGTGAACCCCAGACATTGAACATTGAGTTATTTACACAGTTGGAGTTTGGTTTGGTTTTGTCCAGGTTGTTGATGGCACCCTGGTTCTTCCCTTTTGAAATAGGGAAGTATTTAGCTTGTTTTCAACTTTACAGGAGCCTGTAGTTGAGAGACAAAAGATCTTAGGTTTTAAAGGAGACTTTGGAGCGTTGAAGAAGCTAAGTTTGGAAAGTGGTTGAATTTGTAAGTCTGTGGGACCTTTTTAAGTTTGCAAAATGTTTTATGTTGTGAGGTTGATATTAATGTGTGATCTTGGGGATGAAGGAAAATAGGAAAGGCTGTGGCTAAACAAACAGTGATGCGTTAGTGTGTCAGGTGACAAGGGGTCAATCGTGCTGGACAGTTTTATGCCAACTTGACATCAGCTAAAGTCACCTGAGAGGAGGGACCCTCCAAAGAGGAAAGGCCTCTAGAAGATCGGGCCACAGGCAAACCTGTAGGACATTTTTCTAACTAGTAATTAATGGGGAGGGCCCAGGCCACTGTGGGTGTGGCCATCCCTGGGCTGCTGGTCCTGGGTTCTGTAATAAAGCAGACTGAGCAAGCCATGGGGAGCAGGCCAGTGAGCAGTGCCCTCCATGGCCTCTGCATCAGCTCCTGCCTCCAGGTTCCTGCCCAGTGTGTTTTCCTGTCGACTTTCTTCAGGGATGGACGATGAGTTGGAAGTGTAAGCCAAAGAAACCCTTTCCTGCCCAAGTTGTTCCCAGTCTTGGTGATTTGTTGAGGCAGCAGAAACCCTGAGACAGGGAGGAAGGGTTCATCTTGCTTACAGTTAGTGGGAAGAGCTTGTTATGGTGGGGAAGTCAGGGCAGGGTCGTGGATCGACGGCTCACGCCAGGCCCACAGTGGAGCAGCAGAGAGAAGTGAACGCTGGCGTCCGGCTCACCACCTCCTTTCCAGTCAGCCCATGACCCTAGCCCGGGGGATGGCGCAACTCACATTCAGGGCAGGTCCTCTCCCTCGGCTAACCCAATCTAGACAGTCAGTGACAGAGATATTAGAAGATTGTATCCATGGTGACCTACCTCCTGCCATGCTGACAGTCTAGATTAATCCACACAAGTGCAGGCATGAAGGCGCCAGGCAGGGTTCAGAGGAGCCCAGGGAGGCTCAGGGGATCCCAGGCAGGCTCAGGGGAGCCCTCAGGGAAGCAACACCCGAGTCTCAGCTCTCACAGTGAAGGGAGCAAGCTGTTGCTGAGGAAGTCTGTGAGACGCGAGTGTATGAGAACTGAGAGCTGACAGGCAAAAATGTGGGTGCGGCGAGGTGCCTGGCTGCTGAAGGCAGGCGTGGGGAGGAGGAGGTCTTGCGAGTCTTGTGGGGTTTTGCTTTTCCTGGGGAGACTATTCCTACATCTCCTGGCAGATAATGGGGAGAATGAAGGACAAAAGAAAAGGTCCCACTGGAGTCCAGCTTGGTGACCCAGTGAGTTTATCTGGGTGATGGGAGCGTGAGCGTTCCTACAGGAGCCAAAGTGACTCAAAGGCACGTGCATCACCAAAGTCCCAGCTGAGCATGGGCTATGACCAGTGAAGACTGGCACTCTTGGACTTCCCTGTGCAACAGGTAGGCAGTTCCTGTGTGCGTGTGTGCGTGTGTGTGCGTGTGTGTGCGTGTGTGTGTGTATCTGTGTGTACATGTCTGTGGGGGCAGAGGCTCACATTAGCTCTCTTCCTCAATGGCTCACCACATCACAATATTTAATATTTATTTTTCCTTATGTGTGTCCTTGTGAGTACATGTATATGTGTGCCTGGTGCCTGCAGAAGCCCGGAGAGGAGGTGGAGTTACAGCTAACTGTAAGCTTCCAGACTTGGCCTCTGGGGACACAATGTGGGTCCTCTGCAACAGTCTTCTGAACTTTGAACCAATGAACCCTATCTCCATTTTCTTCCTTTCATCTCTCTGTCCTCCTCCTTAATCTCTCCATCCTCCCTACATCTCTCCATCTCCCCTCCATCTGTCCATCCTCCCTCCATCTGTCCATCCTCCTTACATCTCTCCATCCTTTTTATATCTCTCCATCCCCCTTCTTTCTCTCCAGCCTCCTCATTTTTTGACACAGTGTTTCTGCAATGCTTAGTCACAGTTGAGAACTCTGATTAACACAGTCTCTCCCCAAACACACCAGTTCTCTAGACTGGCTGACCAGTAAGATCCTTGGGTGGTCCTGTCTCTGCTACAGCTGGTGGGATGACAGACAGGTGCCTTCCTGCCAGCTTGACTGTGGGTGCTGGGGAGCAAACTCCAGCCTTCGTGTAAGCCTCGCAAGCGCTTTACCAACTGAGCCCTCTTCCCAGCCTCAGCCCTGGTAATTCAAAATGTTCCAGGACCACCTTTTTATGTCTCAGTGTGTTTTAGTTACTTTTTGTTGCTATGGTAAGATACTTTGTAGATGTTAGCTTTGATATATGTTTTATTTGAAACACTCATGGAAGCCAGGAAATTAGTGAGGGGCCCAGGCAGTGTGTGTGTGGGGGGAGGTTTCCGGGGTCCAAGGAAAGTGGACATGGAAACCTCGGTACAAAGACTTAAAGGGGAAGGATGTACTGGAGTGGGGATGGAGGTCAAGGTACAGGAGGGAATACGGAAGGGATAGCTGAAACAGTCATGTGGAAATCTGTGTACCACTGTTCATGCTTCATATACATATGTGTGTGTGCACATGTCACCCTATAATGAAGGGGGTGACGTTGCTCCTAAGAAGACGCCACTGACTAACAAATAAAAAGCCCAGTACCAGGAATGGCTTACTTCTTTTGGTTTTGCTGGCTAGTGAGGTCCCATCGACCCCCAAACATCAAATGCTTTTGGTTAACCCCAGGACTTTACGGTAAGACCCCATTGTTGAAGATGTGGCATACTTACAGAACATGGAGAAGTCAAGGTGATGGGTACTGGAAGTTTCATTCCTTTTGACTAGCTTTCACAGCACTGGAAAGTTCTTTGCACTCCCCCAGAGGAGAAGAGTGAACCCTGTATAGTTTGAAATGCTTTTGCTCCTTTGCCTCTTTAGGCTTTTCTGAGGGACCGGCCATCCTGCTCCCAAATAAATCACACACAGAGTCTTATTATTACTCATGAATGCCCTGACTTATTTTGGCATGTTTCTAGCCAGCTTTTCTTATCTTAAATTAACCCATCTACCCTTTCCCTCTGGGCTTTTATCTTTCTTAGTTCTGTATATCTTACTTTTCTTCGTATTCCGTGGCTGTCTGGGTGGCTGGCCCCTATGGCCCTACCATCCTCCTCTCCTTGTTCTGTTGCTCTCTCTTTCCTGGGGTCTCCTTCTGTTTATACTGCCAGCCAGCCCCGCCTATCCGGTTCCTGCCTTTATTAGGACCACCAGGTGTTTTAGACAGGCACAGTAACACCGCTTCACAGAGTTAAGCAAATGCAGCATAAACAAAAGTCACATACCTTGAAATAATGTTGCCCAACACCCTGAGAACTACAGTAACAACTGCTTGGCAAGACACACCCACTGAGCAACAATGACATAAACACCACAGGGTAACTGACCCATCTTCTGATTGGACTTAGTTCCCCTCCACCAGATGAAGCCTGTACCTAGCAGGACAACCAGGCAAGAATCTGCGGCTTGACAGGTCACGTGACCGAGGAGAGAACCTACTACTATCATTCTGCTAAACGGACACAGTGTTGAGTGGACCCCCCCCCCCATGACTCATTGTTATACCCTCAGATCTCTGCAGTTCTCCACTGACATCTGAGAAGTTTCTGCTTGCATTAGTTGGTGTTTAACACAGAGACCACAACTGGCCAAGGTGCAGAAAATAAGAGTGTGGCTGTAACGATAAACAGCACAGTTGTTGAGGGTATAGGTAACTGTTTATTGTAGAAATTACTTACAAGAGAAAACGGACAACCCAAATGAGTCAAGCAGCCTTCGCTGCCAAACTGGAAGACGAAAAGAGAGAGAATGTGGTTCTGCTGCAGTCTTTTAGAAGAACCTCCATACACGCCTCTAGCCACGCCCAAAAGTGGGCCCGGCTAGTGGCATAGTTCACCGCCCTGTCTCTAGTCATGCCCAAAGTGGGTGTGGTTAGCGGCGCAGTTCCGCCCTTTCGTTACCACATTAGTACACGCCTCTAGAGCGCCACGTGGCTGATGGCGCAGTCCTAAGTTTCCTCCTACATAAGAGAATGAAGATTTTTATCCCTAAGTGGAACATATGTTCTGCACCCCTTCTTTCCAAGGCTTGGGGGCCATTGCAGAAGAGGCAGCAGAACGGACGACTGTAAGAGCCAGAACTGATAACTAAAGGAGACAGTGTGTCCTAGTTAGGGTTCCTGGTGATGCAATGAAACACCGTGGCCAAAGCAATTGGGGAGGAAAGGCTTTATTTGGCTTACATTACACTTCCAGATCGCAGATCAGAGATCACAGAGGAAGTCGGGACAGGAACATCAACAGGGCAGGAACCTTGAAATTTATAAGTGGTGAACCTCACCCCTCCCTCTGAAAGTGACTGTCTATGTCTGGAGGAAACAGCAGCACAAACCACATGAACCACAGCAGCTCATGACACTGGAACAGATAGGATGGCGCCCTAGCTCCAGGTGAGTCAGCAGGTGTGTGTGTGTGTGTGAGTGTGTGTGTGTGTGTGTGTGTGTGTGAGTTCTAGGAGAGTCAGCAGGTGTGTGTGTGAGAGAGTGTATCTGAGCTCCAAGTGAGTCAGCAGGTGTGGGTGTGTGTGAGTGTGTGTGTGTGTGTGTGTGTGTGAGAGAGAGAGTGTATCTGAGCTCCAAGTGAGTCAGCAGGTGTGGGTGTGTGTGAGTGTGTTTGTGTCTGAGCTCCAGGTGAGTCAGCAGGTATGGGTATGTGTGTGTGTGTGTGTTTGTGTCTGAGCTCCAGGTGAGTCAGCAGGTGTGGGGGGGGGCAGGGTGACTGAGCTCCAGGAGAGTCAGCAGGCACGTGGGGGTGTCACAGATACCTGTAGAAACTCCAGAGTGGGCTGGAAGGTAACTGTTGGTGAAATTCTGTGTAGGTGTGAGGACTAGATGTCTGTGGTCAGAGCCCCAGGTAAAAGGGAGAGACCCTATCTCACAAAACAAGGTACATACAGCTGGAGAAAAGGCTCAGTGGTTAAGAGCTCTTGCAGAGGAACCAGGCTGGGTTCCCACCATCGATGTTTTATAGCTCACAACTATCTGTAACTAGAGCTCCAGACAATCTAAGGCCCTCTTCTGTCCTTGGTGGGTATTGCACACAGACAGACAGACAGACAGACAGACAGACAGACAGACACACACACACACACACACACACACACACCATGACTCCAGACACTGGGAGGAGGGTGAAATACAACTGAAACTTTATTGGAGGGCTGGGCTGTGGTCAGTTGGGGCAGCCAAAGACCACCATGGTCTCTGTGAAGGCACCGAGGTTCTCGCACTGTTTCTGATTCTCCGCATCCTGGCATTCTTCCGCCTCCGGCCAGAGCTCCACCCACGTGTCCTTCCCGATGATGTAGCTGGTGCTGGGGAAGGGAGAGCAGGTGAGGGCGGGTTCCTGGGGCAGCGGGGCAGCGGGTAGGGCAGCCGTGCGTGCCCATGCGCGCAGGGTGGGGCACTTACTTGGGCTTCTCTCCCCAGAGGTCGGAGGACAGGCCCCATATGAGGTAATGCTTCCCTTTCTGCAGCTTCAGGGCTTCTCTGCACTTGATGTGGCTGATGAACCTGCGCTCCTGCCCTGCCTGCACCTCATCTGAGCCTGTGGAGCAGGGAGGGGGAGGCTGAGCTCCCACAGAAGGCGTGGGGGTGGGGAGGTGGGATGACCGAGGGCTAGGCACCTACCTGACTTGATGACCTGCTCGATGGTCATGATGTACTCGTCAAAATCCTCAGACAGCTCCGTGGTGACTAGCTTGGTCTTGTACACTGTGGGGGGCGGGGCAGCGAGGGCCATGATGAGCCGCCCTCACCTCCGAGCAGAGAGAGACAGGCTGAGCCTTTGACACCCACCTTCTCTGGCAGGCTAGCACACACTCCGGCCATTGATACCTTGCTGTTTACCTATGTCCTTGTCACTGAAACCTCAAGTTCTGGAGGAAGGGTCCTTAAGACTCCGGAAATAAATAAATGAAACTTACTAGGCCCCTCCCAAAGGTATTAAAAGTCATCCACACTCTTACCAGGAACCCCTCACTCCAGCTCTTATGAGTCACCCCAGAAACTCACTGGTTCAGCAAGCT